TTAACCATTTACTAATATGTTGCTCCATAAGGGAGAACTCCCTCTATCCCCTAAATATACCTCTGATATATAGGCTGTTAAAAAATAAAGATTCTAAAATAAAATTTAACAGAATGAAACAAGACTGAAGAGTACTAAAAAATAACCTAGATAAGTTTTAGGCTTCAACCTCTTAAAAGACCCAATAAGTTCCTAAAACGGGCATTTGAAGGTCCGCGGGTCAAACATTAAATAATAGTACTACCACACAAATATCTGAAAAGTTGTTAAACCTAAAAAGAAATGGACTTGAATTCAATCCCAGTGGTTCATTTGTTACCCTCCATTTTTACCATAAAAGGTTACACTAGGGATTTCCATGATGGACATCAAATATACAAAAGGGAATTGGGATGAAAACCAGGGGAACTCCATAATACTAGACAAACTAAAACAAGGGGATTCTGATGAATTAATTGTAGTTGTAACAAAGAAAAAAAACCTGTATAGTCGACCATAAATATCTGTTGTATTAAGACGTGTAGTAATAACCTTCAGCATGTTATAGGTGTCCATCATTAGGTCGTTTAAGGTCAATACACTTATAACGTACTGTGTATGAGTCTACATTTATTGATAGAAAATGTACTGAGCTACATTTTGTACATGGCATTGTTGTAAGATTCAGTGTTTGGATGTACCATCTGAATGGTGGGACTGGTTAATAAGTTCGAGCAGATTTGATAGAAATAAAAAATTAAAATTGAAAATTTACTGAATACAAATAAATTAATATGTTGATGCAACATATTTTTCATTCCATGCTAATTGAGTATTAAAATCTTACATTAATGAAAAAAGAGATAGGAATGATATTGAAATTTTTTTTACTTAAAAATAATGAATATAAAAAGGAGATGTTTCAGTAATTACCAGACATTTACCCTAAAACACACAATATACAGTACAGTAGATAGAAAAACACACAATATACAATACAGTAGATAGAAAAACACAAAATATACAATACAGTAGATAGAATGACACACAATATACAGTATGGTAGATAGAATGACACACAATGTACAGTACAGTTAGATAGAATGACACACAATGTACAGTACAGTAGATAGAATGACACACAATATACAGTACGGTAGATAGAATGACACACAATATACAGTACGGTAGATAGAATGACACACAATATACAGTACGGTAGATAGAATGAGACACAATATACAGTACGGTAGATAGAATGACACACAATATACAATACAGTAGATAGAATGACACACAATATACAGTACAGAAGATAGAATGACACACAATATACAGTACAGTAGATAGAATGACACACAATATACAGTACAGAAGATAGAATGACACACAATATACAGTACAGTAGATAGAATGACACACAATATACAATACAGTAGATAGAAAAACACACAATACACAGTACAGTAGATAGAATGACACACAATATACAGTACAGAAGATAGAATGACACACAATATACAGTACAGTAGATAGAATGACACACAATATACAGTACAGTAGATAGAATGATTGTAGTTATGTTATAATTTGTTCCAACATTCTCTGTGATATTGAACAATAGAATAAACTGACAGTTTATTGGACTAAGTGATTTAATTTATTTAAGAGAAACCTTGCAATTGGATTGATTGATTGGTTGTTGTTAAACACACAGTGGTGTTTGTATTTCATGCATATTCAGATTGATAAAAGTACATTTGCAGGAAAACTAAAGTGAAAAATTCAGGTTCAGGAAAATTTTGTAAATAATAAAGAATATATCCTATTACTATTAACTTATGTTTTATAAGTGCAATGATATATTCTAAGAAGCCCGGAGGACCTGAATGTTTTTTTCCTTTGTTAGTAAGATTTTTCAATGTCATTGTGTCTGGCCCAAGGACAAAGTTTGTCACCAGTCAGGAAGTAAGAAAAAGTTACTACCATGTGTTTTACTATTATCTAGATTAAATATCTTTTAGAAAACTCTGTAATGATGCATTGAAATAGACAGATTGATGGTGTGATGTGTTATGATGTATCAGCATGATAAAACAATTGATTTTATAATGTTTTATGTCAGGACTTTGTCATTTTATTATTGTTGATTGATAAAAAGATATGATTGTTTCTAATACAAAAATGAAAAGTGCATGTTATATATTGCTTGTAATGCACACTATTGAAGAGGGTTATGTGTTTCATTGTGATTGCGACTGCACACCGTATAAGGTGGGGGTGGGGGCAAAATTTCATACAGCTAAAAAATCATGTTACATGAACACTGTAACTGTGATGGGTTTTGAAATTTCTACCTGTCATACAGGGGTAATGACTCAGATTGGCCACAAATGGGTCTCTCTTGCGGTGGACATGTTGTTTCGTTTGCTTTAGCTGAAGACCTATAAAATAAAAAAGAATATATATAAACTTGAATGGCAATAAGTTATTCAGGGCTGGTCTTTCTGGATAGGTGAGAAAAGCATGTATAAATGTATTAATGTATTAACCAAGAATTGAAGGAAGAAGCTTTAGGGGGGTTGTTCAGGGAAATTCAATGACCTGTAACAAAACAATTGACTAAAATATAATACACTTGAGTTGTGGCTGTATATAGACTTGTGATCTCTATATAGAACATATAAATCATACTATTAGAAGAAATTTTGAATACTTTTATTTTGATTATATTCAAATTACTTGTTATTAAGAAACTCCAAGCTTATTTCATAAATACATTTGATAAGCTTGTAACCTTTGTATGAAATAACTTTTATAAAGCTCTTTAGATTGGATTTCCAGCATTTGATGATAAATGTTGGATAGGATTTTTAGACTTTTAAGATAGGATTTGGGATAAACTTGTGGTTTGGATCTCGGATAAAACCACCTACTCTGAGATAAACTTGTGGATAAAACCACCCACTCTCTTTCTTCAAACAGTTTTGTGAAAATTTACATCTTTGATATATATATTCTGTTGAAATGTTTTGTCAGAACTTGAAAGCTAGTTTATTTTTTGCTTCATAGTGAAGAAAATCAACAAGCACATTTCTCACCTTATAATATCATTGACTGTTTACTAAATGGATCAGTAAGAAAACTGACAACCAGTAGAAAATGTTTATTACATATGTGTATGAATGGAAAACATTTTACAAGCCTGTATGTTTTTGTCATTTAAAATAAACAGATTATTTTGACATGATTGTGTTTGGCATTGAGGATTGACAGGTTTTATATAAAGGTATAAAAGACCCTGAGTAATGACAAATTTGTTGATAAGTTATGTAATTAACATGAAGTTTATAGTACTTGTACTAAGGCGCTAGTATTGAACATTTAATGGGTTGGAGATTAATCACTTTGTTGTTCATTAATTAACGGAAGTTCATAATCAAGGTTTCTATTGATTTAAGTGCAGTTCAATTCTATTATTTCACTCCTTTGTTTTTATTTTTTTCCTTTTATTTTTACATGAATAGTTCGTCGGCTCTTGATAGTTCTTTGTTTAAGACATTTTTTTTTAACAGGAAGAGGTTGTAGAATCTTGATGGTTCTTTGTTTAGGAAGATTTTTTTTTAACATGAACAGTTTGTCGGTTCTTGATGGTTCTTTTATTGAAGACGTTTATCAGTCTGATCAGGGTCTTTTGTTGTCATTTGTTTTCTAGTTTTTCGCAGGGCATGCATGAAGGACACGAAGCTTGATACTTATCATACAAAGAAAACTTGTTAACATTAAATTAATATTTCAAGGAGATTATGGAAAAAAAAAGTCTTTGTTAGGGAATCTGATATGTTGACATTGATTTTTTTTGTCTTTCGTTAGGGACATTGAACTATAGAGACATGCAAACAGGATGACACTTTGTTTCCATGGTGATGCAAAATCAAAAACATTTGTTCCATATTTAAGGGAATCGATACAGTGGAGCTTGATAGATTTTTATTTGAAGAATATAAAGAAGATCATATTTCTTCCCCAGTAGAACAGATTTTCTTTGTTTTCATCCAAAAACTTTTGATTAATTTTATGCAAATTATTTCTAATTTGACAGATAATTGCTTTAATTAAAAAACATGTTGAAAAATGAGAGGAAAATAAGCCATTAAAATGTACTTGTAAATAGTCGTAATTCACCAGAGTTATTATAATAAAGGCAAAGAAGGAAGATTTTTTTTGTTTGAAAAGTGGATTAAGATTTGAAGATTAGAAAGTGACTTATTTACATAATTTTTCTTGAATAACATCATAAATAAGTATTTAAAAACAAAGTATCAGTTCTATATTAAGATGAACTCTCTGTACATGTAGTCCTTAACAAAATAATCAATTGTAAATTGATCAGTAAAATGTCTTTGTCATTTGTTTGTCTTTTATCCTTATAAAATTATTGTTTATAATTCAAATGATGGTAAAACTCTTTGTTTGGTTGGGTTTTTAGGCTTCCGTCCTCTAGGACAATGACACAATACAATGTCTCAACAGATTTTTTACATACGTAATTGCTATTATGCTATTACCACTATTGTTTTACGTCAGGTGAAGCCTTCAACTTTAACATCGTGAAGTCATATAGAAAACTAATTTTCTGTTGTTCTTAAAAGATATTAACAATTTCTTGTTTGCTTCCAGATTTTACAAAGTCATGATATGTTATTGTATTATGTTTGTTATTTGTATATTTTTCTTTGAATTATACATTTTGTTAATTTATATTATAATTTATCAATGTTAATGTCACTTATATAATGTAAGACTTTTTACTTGTTATACAGTTATGGATTTTGCTTTAAAGTCTGTACTCTAACCTATGCGAACTTCTGTCTCTGGTGGATATTTGTCTCATTGACGATCATACCACATCTTATTATCTTATATGTATTGTCTTTTAGGTATAAAAATTAATTCATTTTGGTTAACATTGTCTTTAATGCAAAATTTCACATTGTGAGTTTTCCTTAACCAAACCTTAGATATGTGTTGACAGAATTAATGCAAAGTGATCTGCATAAAATCATCGTTTCACCACAACCTCTCACATCGGACCACGTCAAAGTCTTTCTATACCAAATACTCAGAGGTAAGCATTATAAAAATCATCATTTCACCACAACCTCTCACATTGGACCACGTCAAAGTCTTTCTATACCAAATACTCAGAGGTAAGCATTATAAAAATCATCATTTCACCACAACCTCTCACATTGGACCACGTCAAAGTCTTTCTATACCAAATACTCAGAGGTAAGCATTATAAAAATCATCGTTTCACCACAACCTTTCACATCGGACCACGTCAAAGTCTTTCTATACCAAATACTCAAGAGGTAAGCATTATAAAAATCATCGTTTCACCACAACCTCTCACATAGGACCACATCAAAGTCTTTCTATACTTAATACTCAGGTAAGCATAAAATCATCGTTTCACCACAACCTCTCACATCGGACCACATCAAAGTCTTTCTATAGATACCAAATACTCAGAGGTTAGTCTAACAGGGATTTACTGGTGTTCGATTAAAAGCATCGTTTCACAACAACCTCTAAAAGTATTGAAATAGTCAAAGGTTTATTAGTGTTAAATAGCAGGGTGGAGGGTTTGGTACAAGTCTTTCTTTTCTACATGGTTTATACATACATCAGGATGGTCATATTAGCTGGGCTGAGGGTGTTTTAGGAGATTTTTTGTTCTCTACAACTTCAAAACAGTATAAAAGTTATAAAATCTTTATTCAAAATGCCCAGAGATACATCTTAAATCTGTAATTGTATTGGCCTGGATATTAGACATGGAAAGTTTCAACATACTTGAATCACATGTCAAAAGCCCTTCAGATCCAATATCCTCCTACCATGTATTTATAATGCACATATTTCAACAATACTATTACAATAATTTTTTCCAGCAATTTTCAAGATTTTCATGTGTAGAAAAATGACATGAATATACATGTTGAACTTTGACATCCTCTTATATTTGAATACACCATGTGCTAATATTCTATAAAAAAAAATATTCAGGAAAATATATTTGGCCCTTATTTAAGAAAGTGTTAAATATAAGAAGATGATATTTTTAGATTGAACCATTTTGATACTGAAAGGTTCTTCATACCACCTTATGTTTTATATTGCAAAAAATATTTTTAAACATTTACTTGTAAAACATTTTCATCTGTGCAACATTATAGATTTTCAAATAATTTGATAATACATTTCCTCCCTGAATTACTCATCTATTCTAGGAAGAGATGATTCGTTTCTTTGTTTACCGAAACTCTTTTTATACGAAGAAGATATTTCTTTTCTGTGTTTCTTAAAACTCTTTTTATACAAGAAGATAATTCTTTTCTGTGTTTCTTAAAACTCTTTTTATACAAGAAGATAATTCTTTTCTGTGTTTCTTAAAACTCTTTTTATACAAGAAGATAATTCTTTTCTGTGTTTCTTAAAACTCTTTTTATACAAGAGGAAATATGGACCAATAGAGATAAGATTTAAATCAATGTTCATCCACTTCAGGATAGGAAGGCTGTCCATCTTTTACTTTATAGACTTCCGGACAGTCGAGTGGTAGTATATATGTTAACACTACTGATCGTCTGATTTCGGTCATATCCTGGTTAATAGGGATGATATTAACTGACTAAAAGTCGTAGGTAAACATCACACCATTTCCTATGTGGAAATTGGACATTGTTTAGTGTCTTTATAAATCATCTTCTAACTCTCTACCTGTAAATAACTTCTATCTTTAGACAAAAGATATTTTATGTATAGTCATTTTGTGACGGTGAAGTTTACATGTAGCGGTACTGGGAGGAAGTTTCTGTTTATAAATGTGTAGGATTGATATTTGTTCAGTAGTACATGTTAAAGTCAGGTAATCCCCCCTCACTGACTGATGGAAAACATTATCTGTTAGTTAAAGGGAAGTTTATTCACATTTCATAAGTATCAACCCAACTACAAGTTTTGACCTTATATTTGGAGATAGTCAAACTGAAAATGCATTTGGGAGGGTGGGAGGTGCTGTATTTATAAAAAAAAACAATTGTGTATAAATTCTGATGTATTAGTCAACATCTACTGTAGTGTAGATTAGTCAACTTCTAGCTATCAATCCTTTCTGACATACATCTTGCTCAAACCAGGGTTAGGGGTGTTGAACACGTTGATTGCTTCATTTTAATTTTGAGTTGAAGAACATCTATAAAGGGACTGTTCCTTTGCCTGCATCAACATTACATGTAACTGATGCTGATTTTTAATTCTGTGTATAACTTGATCTATAAATAAAAATATTTTTAAGATGATAATCGTGTCACATCTTGTTGAACAAGATATTTGTTAGTATTTTTTTTATAGGTGACATATTTTATGACAAAGAGAAAAATCAGCTAGAATTTAAATGCTGCCTTCAACTATTTTGTAAACTGAACTCTGATATAGAAAATGTGTCAGTGACTTTAGTGAACTGACACACAAATATATTTATTATTGGATAATAATATTATTTTATTTAAACTTTTAGTAAGAGATAATTGACGATTTTCATTGAAAAACAACAGGCTTAAGATAATATCAGTTGAGAAAGTAAGGGTTATATCTGAGGCTTTTAAGTCTGTCAACAACAACAATTGAACTACGTTTTACTTAAAAACTTAAAATCCGGTTAATATTTTGATAAGCCTATTGTTTACATCTATATTAAAAGGTTCTTTCATGAAATGATAATTTACTAATAATAAGGATAGAATATGAAAAGATCTAAAAAAAAATAAGTGAAGTGATGTTTGAGGTAAATATCTAAGAAAGGATAAGTTACCTCGAGAGGGAACAACACTGAAGGCCAAACTTACCACATGTAAACTGTAATCAACTTTGTGTAATAATGAATGATAATGATTTTTTCTGAAACAAATATCAATGTACTTATCCATTTTTCCTGGATTTAATTTTAAGGGAGAGATTATGAAAATTTATTGTTTTGAATTTACAATCTAAGATAATTGCTCTTATTTTTTATGCCCCCGCCGTAGGGGAGCAGGCATTAAGTTTTACCCTTGTCTGTCTGTATGTACATACGTACGTCCCAAAATTGGTTTCCGTTCTCTAACTTTAGTTTGCCATAACCAAATATTATGAAACTTATACACAATGCTTATTACCACAAAACACAGATCAAGTTTGAATTTTGGTGGCGTCACTTTTACCGTTCTAGAGTTATTCCCTTTTACAAATGGAAAAATTCCTGAAATATTTGTTTGTGTTCTCTAACTTTAGGATGCCTCAACCAAATGGTATGAAACTTATACACACTGCTTATTATCACAAAACTCAGATCAAGTACAAATTTGGGTAGCGTCACTTTTACAGTTGAGTTATATCCCTTTATAATGTTATATGCAAGCGAGGGCATCATCTGTGTCCCATGAACACATACCCCATTTATTTTATTCAGTTATGATCAATATACTATATAATATTTGCTGCATTAAACTTTCTCTTTGAAGTAACTTTCATTAGGATTGCTAAGCTATAAAGTTCATTTTTAAAGAACACCTTTGTTTCTTTGATAAAAGATTATTTCAAAGTTTATCAAGAATTGTCTGGTGTGCAACAAATCCTAATTATCTGCCTTTTTCTGTTGCTAAATCATAAATGTATAATTATATGGGGAGTAAAATAAAAATACACCTATGGGGTAGCCAAATCTATCTCTTTTTAAGCCCAGCATTCTTTGAAGGATTTGGCTCTAGTCATTGTTTATATCAAGAATATAATGTACATGTATTTTTCAACATTTTGTTTTTCTTTTTTAGGATTAAAATACCTTCACTCAGCCAGGGTATTACATCGAGATATTAAACCAGGAAATCTACTAGTCAATAGTAACTGTGTTTTAAAGGTAAATATTGGCTTATCTTGGAGAAAGCGTTCAGATGAAGAACAGTTAAACCAAAGGTCTTTTCTTAGTAATGTGTTCTTACGTACATCCCCTTTATCAATTAAATACACATCATATACCCTTGTTATTATTAATTTCCATTATTTTTAAAGTGAGTAACAATTTTGTTTAAACCTGCCTGCACATACATATCTACGAGTTCTAACTGACATGTTTTTATGCCCCATTTATGGGCATTATGTTTTTTGGTCTGTGCATCCGTTTGTTCGTCCATCCGTTTGTCTGTCCCGCTTCAGGTTAAAGTTTTTGGGTAAAGTTTCTGGTCCAAAGTAGTTTTTGATGAAGTTGAAGTCCAATCAACTTGAAACTTAGTACACATGTTCCCTATGACATGATCTTTCTTATTTTATTGCTTAATTAGAGTTTTTACCCCAATTTCACGGTCCACTGAACATAAAAAATTATAGTGCAAGTGGGGCATCCGTGTACTATGGACACATTCTTATCTTACTATTTTCCCCCATTGAATTTGATGATCTGATGTTAATGTTAGATCTTGTTTAGAAAATAAAATTAAGAAGATGTGGTATGATTGCCAATAATAAAACAACTCTCTACCAGAGACCAAATGACGTAGAAGTACACAACTATATGTCACGGTACAGACTTTAACAATGAGCAAAATCAATACCTCATATTTAGCTATAAAAGGCCCCAAAATGACAAATGTAAAACTATTATTTAAAGAAGAGCTGTAACAGTCTATTCTTTGAAATATAATTTTTATATAAACATTTTTTTCTAAACTTGTCAATTTAGTCAATGTTATAGTTTGAAAATAGTAAAAGACACTAATGTACTTTGTATATTGTTGGAGAAAATATTTTGACCTGAACATCTTTTTTTTATTGATTTGTTTGGTTGCTGTCTTGTATATTATTGGAGAAAAGATTTTGACCTGAATATCTTTTTTTATTGATTTGTTTGGTTGCTGTCTTGTTGAGGTGTACCCAAACAATCTTTGATTAGTATGTATGTTTGAAGTTGAATAATAAATAAGACTTGACCAGACTTTAATACTTTTCCTTTATTTTTCAGATCTGTGATTTTGGCCTGGCTCGGATAGAAGAACCAGATGAAAACATTCATATGACTCAGGAAGTTGTAACACAATATTATCGTGCTCCAGAACTTTTAATGGGTGCCAAACATTATAGTTATAGTGTTGATGTTTGGTCCGTAGGATGTATATTCGCAGAATTATTGGGACGAAGAATACTCTTTCAAGCTCAGAGTCCAATTCAGCAGGTTTGTAATTATTTGTGTTCTTTGAAAAAGTTTGTCTTTTGTTGTCCATCGATCACTGCAAGGACAAAGATGGTTTAAAGTACCCCAAAATCTGTTGCCATGGTCCTTTTGATTGTTTAAAATCAAATTGAGAATGGAAACACGGAATGTGTCAAAGAGACAACAACCCGACCAAAGAGCAGAAAACCAATGGGTCTTCAACACAGCGAGAAAATCCTGCACACTGAGGCGAGAAAAATGCTCAAATAGAAAAGATGGCTGTGCTGAACTGTGGTCATGATTCACTTGTCATGCATATGTTGTCCAAAAAAACACTGACATCTTTCATGGGTGTATGCATGAAGTCATGTGACACCAAGAAAATGTTCAATTTCATGTGAAATTATAAGTGGATAAAAGAGGAGGCAAGAGTATAAATTTGGCAATCTTTGGTAAAATGATCTGTCTAAGAATAGATCAGAGGGAGAAATCATAGATGAAAGATAACACTTTCTTCTGACATGTATTGGGGAAGACCGTCAACTTGTTCTTAACATGATCCTGCAGTGTCATTTTACTATTTCCTTGATATTTGCAGTTATTATATTAAAATCTTGGAAACAAATTCATTATTGAACAGGAAAGAAAAGTTGTAAAAAGTTTAGCGAAAAAGTTTCTTCTAATAAGGAGAATATAAAGTACTTACCAAATAAACTTAACAAATTATATATGATCTTAATCTCAAAGTCACAGTGAGGCCTTCAACACAGTGCAAAAAAACTGTCACCTCACTGCAAGTTTAAGACAGTCCCCAGCACTGGTTTAAGCGAAATTCTTAGCAAAATGATTCAGATGGACTTTGTAAGATGGATCACCTCCAAATTTGATGCGGTCAATAATGTGCATACCCGGGCCTGCTATGAATATTTTGTCTAGCTATTGTAAATACTGAGAAAAATGTTCAGCATTAAAATGGATGGAGAAAGTTAAAGTCAAACAATTGATTTCATAAAGACATATAAAAGTTCTTCAAGACATTATTGGATTTTTTAAATTAGAATAATGGACTTTTTCTGGGAAGTGGTAATATAAGAAATGTAAATATTTCACCATTAAAAAGATTGAAGTCAAAATAAACCTGATGCATGTTTTCTGAAGAATCAATATAGGGGAAAAAGATGATGGGATTGAATTTCATTAAACTTTCCTTTAGTATTGGGTCAAGAACTTTTCTTGTGTTCTAGTTATGGGTACTTCAATGTTTAATTAAATATTTTTCATTTCTTAATTAGTCTTCACAATATATGAAAAGCCCTACAGTTTAATCCTGGTAACAATAATGTCTGTATCAAAACAACATGTTACTCCAAATTTATTTATTTATAAAGATATGCACAATTCTTTACATGATTTATTATTTTCTTGTGGAAGGTCCATTGGTCTCTCGTGGGTACTCTGGCTTCAAACCCCAATACAAACTGGCCCAGTCATGAAATACCCAAGTGTGCTGAAAGTTACATTAAACATTAACAATCAATGACTCGTAATTATTATGATCTATCTGTGTGTAGCTTGCTGTAACCAGTCAACTTAAAACAAATAATCAGTAAAAATGTTTTATTGTTATGACAATTGTATAATCCATGTCATATCGGTATGCATGGAATGTTACACATGCTTTAGTTTAGAAAATAATCTACTGTCTATACTGACACACATGAATACATGTACAAAACATTCCAGTCTGTAAATATATAAACAATGCATCCTTATATCTATGCTCCCAGTCACATCCTTCTAATCCATGCTCCAAGCTGTGTCTCTAATCCATGCTCCAAGCTGTGTCTCTAATCCATGCTCCAAGCTGTGTCTCTAATCCATGCTCCAAGCTGTGTCTCTATTCCATGCTCCAAGCTGTGTATAATGCTCCTAGCCACATCAGTTTGTCCAGGCTCCCAATATGATACTTTGTTGACAGTCTCCCAGCCTATCATACTTTTCTTGTCATTGTACCCAAAGAATGTTATATTCCTGCAATGTGTTTTGTGCATGGAATTCATATCATATATATATAAAAAAGAAGATGTGGTATGAATGCCAATGAGACAACTCTCCACAAGAGACCAAATGACACAGAAATTAACAACTATAGGTCACTCACTGTACGGCCTTCAACAATGAGTAAAGCCCATACCGCACAGTCAGCTATAAAAGGCCCCAAAATGACAATGTAAAACAATTCAAACAAGAAAACTAACGGCCTAATTTATGTACAACAAATGAACGAATAACAAATATATTTAACACATAAACTAACGACAACCACTGAATTACAGGCTCCTGACTTGGGACAGGCACATACATACAGAATGTGGCAGGGTTAAACATGTTAGTGGGATCCCAACCCTCCCCCTAACCTGAGACTGTGGTGTAACAGTACAACATAAGAACTAACTATAAAAATCAGTTGAAAGAGGCTTAACTCATCAGCTGTTTAATGGGGTGTTTTTTAAGTGTTGCTTCTTTATATTTTTAAATTAAAATGCTTTCATAAACATGATTGAGGATATAAGGTGTAAGACCCTTTTGTTTGATTTAGTGAAAAGTGGAATATTTAGGTGACTGACATTTTAAACTAGAAATATGAACAAAATAGAAATCCTTACAAAGAAAACCACAAAAATGGCTGACTCATCAGAACAGTTTGACTTTTCTGTGGTCAAGGTTCTTTAACATAGATGTTACAAATCCAGTCATTTAATTTTCTTTGTATAAATCCTTACATTTAATGAGGGTTCAGATGGGGTATCATGTATGAGGAGGCTCTAAATTTTATTCCAATTAACTGTATTAAATGATGAAATTTTCTATCAATTTGACCCAAATGATACATGTACATGGTTTAACTTTTCACTGTAAGAATTTTATACCTTTTATATGTTTCTAAGTGTGTTTGACGCTTGATGGAAAACGAGCAGAGTTCCCACCCTCCTCTATAACTGAAGTATGTTAGATATACTTGTACTTGTTGACACCATTAATGTGCACAGGAATGCACTTAAAACATTCATTTGATGGAGAATACTATAAAAGAAGTAAATGATTATCTCCCCCTACAATAAACACATTCACACATTGTGTATGGATTGAGCCAATGAAAAAGTCTGAGATCTTCTGCATGTTAAAAGTATTGATCCAATTAATCACTTGTTTTTACTAATGTATATGTTGAGGAAGGTCATAGAAGTCGTAAATAAGGACAAACTATCCTGAATGAACAGTTGAACTATTTTGTACAATATTAGCAACAAATAAATAAACAAATAAATATCACCTTACCTAAGATTTAATATCTAAAAAGATTTGTAAACAACAAAACAAAAACTATTCAATATGTAAAATGATAAACATTACAAGGACAAAACAATCTGAAGTCCATTAAAAGGATAAAAATCCATTAAAGGGATAAAAATCTTCCCATATTTTGTAAGGATTGGAAAATATGCAAATAAAATTAATTCCCAACTTTGTCTAGACTTTTTGATTATTTATAACTTTGTCATGTGATGTAGGTGTTTTTAGTGACTTTTGACAATATACATTTGTACCCTACCTGGTGTCTATTTTCAATGAACTTTTCTTGGGTTGCTGTCTAAATATCTGTTTATATTTATGTCTTACAGTTTGGATTAGGAATGTTATCTGGTAGTTGTTGATTTGCTCCTTTGTCCTTGTAATACTTTGTAATCACAAGAATTCAAACCAAAATAAAAAAAATACCTGTCTATAACATTACATAAGTTTTCTTTATGATCTGGATATATTTTATAAAATGACACAATATTGTTATCACATGTATTTCTCAGGTTAATCATATAAACAGCCTTCAGGTGAACAAAGCAAATTAAACATCTAAAAGGATATTTAAATGGGGCATACATGAACATTTATACTGTATGTAATTCAAAAGTTGAATTATTATGCTCAAAATAAAAAAAAAAATAATTGGTTGATTGATTGATTGATTGATTATTGTTTATTGGTTATATCACAGCAAGTCTTGAAAATTTCCAACCATCTTTGAATTTTTCAGTCATTGCCTATTTGATTGTTAAAAGTTTAGGGAACAGTGTTTTGCATCAGTCCTTTCATCAGGTCCTGTCATCACGAAACTGCAATATCCCAACAAGTCTTGGAATGTATAAATGAAACAGTATGTAAATATTATCTTGACAACATACTTGTTTACATTTATCAAATATTTCAAAAATGAAATAGAATTAAGAATTAAATGCCAGAGTTGAAGAAACAGTAATACCATTTTGAAGTCTCAGTTGTTGCATTGATTAAAGTGAGATTTTGTAGGAGTAATTTGATGAATGCTTTAGATAATATCTAAAAATAGTAAGTTGTGATCAACATAAAGTATTTGACAGTCATGATGAGCTGACAAAAAATTCCAACATAGTGCATGTCTATGACTATAACATTTGTTATTAGCTAAATAGCAATCCCTGCTATCTGACAGAAGAACTGAGGTTGAGAAATGTACAGCTTTGCCGAAAGACAACTACTTTATAGCCGACTATACAGTGTGGTTTTTTTTCTCATTGTTGAAGGTTGTACAGTTGCCTATAATTGCTTACATCCACCTCATTTGAAATTTGGTGGATAGTTGTCTCATTTGCTATCATGCCACATCTAATTTTTATTCTGTACATTTATAACAGCCTTGATGGTGGCAGGAGAAACTACTTTAAACCTTTTGTTGTCTGTGTGCATTTAGGATCCATTTAGTTAGAAGGAAATATGTCCATCAAATAGGTCAAATCAGATTAAATTTTACCTGTTAGGGTGTGCATACACTGCAGATTTGCTTACAGCAGTTTTGTGCACCATTGGGAATACACATTTGATGAATTTAAAACTGTAGTAACTTTCTACATAATACTCTTAATTTTAATTTTTAAAATATTTTTAATGATGAAATAGATATATGAATGTTTTTTTTTCATTTTATAAATTACCCTATTTTAAGGTTTACTGATGTTAGACAAAGAAGACTCTGAAGTAAAAAGAACTATGATGTTGTTAAACTTTAGAACAATGTATATTTATAAGTGTTATTTTATGAAAGAAATATGTATTTAAAGGTTAAACTCCTTGTTAAAGTAAATTTGATATAGGTTAAAACTAGGTTAATTTGAGTGCCTTTGTTCTTTTACAAAAAAAAACACATCATGTTAGAAATGTAAGAATGCTGAAAGATCTGGGAAAGATTAGAAAACATTATTTCCACTTTTTTCTCTTGCTAATGAACAGACCAGTATTGTTCCAGTGGAAGCTATACGAACAATGATTTGGATAATTTCCTTTCTGTTTTCAGAGTTTTTTGTCTTATTTTCTGGTACATTATGGTTTTATTTCGTGTTTCTTTGTGGTTATCAGACCATGCAAAAATATTATGTCTGACTTAAAATAATTAGGAAGTATTTTGTTACAAACCATTTTTGTAAAAATAAAATATCAAGCATTTCTTTGTGTTTGGAATAAGAATGTGTGATGGATTTAATTTCATTTCTCAGACTGAAGTTTTATGTTCTGAACAAAGACATGAAATTTGGTGTTTTTATCAAATGTTATTGATTTTTCAATGCTAATCCAACTAATGGCTTTTATTGATGGTTATTGACCCAAAAGTGGTCATAATGAAATATATTCCTTGACTTTTAAATATTTATAATACACCTCAGATTGGCTTACAACACCTGTTCGTTAATCAGAGAAGCGGATTTAAGTTGGTCTTTTTTGTTCATCATGGACTCTCATCTTGTAACGGGAATCAAAGGAGATTTGGGATTTACTACAAAAGACAGCACACAAACAACACAAAAAAACAAAATCATTTGAGGTATTTTTATTAAGCTTTAAATTGTCCTGTGTATAAAGATAACATGTATAAGTTCAGCTGAGACCTACCATCAACTACCATACTAATTTCTTAAAGGACAGAAATGGTCAGAAAGCAATTTTATTACCACGTGCACATAGGCCTAGTATAAAAAAATGTGGAGTTTTAATTGTATGAACACCCCATGTCCATTCAGTATACATGTATACATCTATATGTCACACATTATCATATATACACAAGTGCCTACATGACATGGAAAACCGTAAACTTTTTATGTCTTGACAAAATGTGAACCAATCAACACCAAATTGTTAACAGATTATATTTTAAGTTCCATGTAAGGCATGCTAATAATTAATTTATTAAACAAAATCTCATTGGTCACTAATCCTGACTATCAACAATAAATAGTTTTTTTATGTAGGAATATTATATTTGAAAATGATTTAAAAAAATGGTTTTTGTCATTAAACTGTTTCTATTCTAGGAAAATCTTATTGAATATAAACTGAGTTTTTTCAATCTCACAGTTTTTGCTATTCATCTATTTATATTGTCTGTAAAATTCTATAAAGTTTCTTGTGTTTGAATATAGTAGTTTTCTGATTGATGTAGGTTAAAACAAGTTCTATAAAATGAAAGTAGGTCAGTGTTCTATAGAATAATAGGTCATTTTAACCTTATCTCTCTCCACTACAGTTCAGTGTACTGGTGAGATTGAAATCAATATTGATGTAAATACATAATAATGGATCTCTCAGAATAACAAACTAATTTACTGGTACTCAATACTGAAAAAGCTTCCATGATCATGATCATAATCCAGGTTCTCACAAGAATATTTTAAGGGCTTGTCCTGTGACCCCAACGGATTCTGAAGAGACCATAATACAGTAATAACTTTTATAGTACTGATCTGAATCGTCTTATTTGGATTCTGATGAGACCATAATACAGTAATAACTTTTATAGTTCTGATCTGAATCGTCTTATTTGGATTCACGAATAAAATTATCAATTTTAACCTGTTAACACCATGAATACTGGACAGGCAAGGATTCCAAAAATATTGTACAGTACAACCGACTCCCGACTCCTCTATCTTGTCTTCATTGTCTAATGAACAAGTCCTACATGTTGTTATTTTGGGACAATTAACAACATTTTTTTGTAGTTTGGAATCCGAAATAATATAATTATTATATCAAAGATAAAGATTTGAAAAATTAGAAAGCAGGTTCCTATGTTATTTTCTTTAAAATTTTCGACAAAAAAATTACAAAAGTTTTTGAAAAAAATGTGAGTGAGAAGTGGACAGCTTGAAGTTATTTATTTAAAATATAACTTTTAACAGTTTTTTATGTGAACAAATAGTCATTAAAATTGATAAATGAGAATTGCAATGTGGAGCAAGGTCATATTTTGTTTTCATTCAAATTATAATGGATATGAAAGAAATACATAAGGCAAGTACAAAGCTCCAAATTATTCATTAATAAAACACATCAAATGTGATGATAAAAATCATGAAATAAAAATTGCACCAGAAAACATGTGATTATACTTTAGAATAACCTTATATCATGCATGCTGTGTGGAAGGATAGGTAGGAAAAGGCTATTGAAAAAAAACTGACGTCACCAGGTTTAAGGGTTGATTTGGTACTGTAGGTTGGAATTTCTTTGTTCTTTTAAGTTATAGTTTTATACATCTATGGTTATAGGAATACCTTATAAATTGATCCAAGAATTATCAGTGGAAATAAGTTTTTGTTACCTGTATCTGACAGATGAGTTTAATTACTATTGAAATCAGTTTCCATGTGAGGCAACAGCTTTTTTCTAAATAAATATTTTTTAGGTAACCTTGGATTGTCTAGCCTGACCATCTGTAACCCTGTCAACCCTTATTCCATATTAGTTCATCCTTTATTCCTGTAGGTCAGCAGATTCCATTGTTAAAACAAAGGGGGATATATTTACCATAACCAGGTGTTATGGATCAGACCCATACTCTGATAAACATAGAACAGCTGACAACCTCATTTTCATAATGAAGATTGTATATTTATCCATTTTTTTGTAAAATTCAGCAAATAATTTTTTGTTAAGAATTTCAGAGGGAAACAGGATAATGTAAAATTAACACATTATTTTAAGTGTTATTTGTACTCACTACTTTGGGCTCATCTTTTAAATAGAACAAACTGAAATAACAGGATGTTTTGAATACCATAAGATTAACCTAAATAGATGCAGTTTTACTGTTATCAATTTTTTTCAAGCTTTATAAGTTTGATTTGTGTGCATATTTTTACCGTCTTTCTTTTCTTTTTTAGCTTGACCTCATAACAGATCTCCTAGGAACACCGAGTGATTCAGCGATGCGAACTTCGTGTGAAGGGGCACGGGCTCACATCAAACGTATGGCACACAAACAACCATCATTAGCAGCTTTATACACACTATCAAATCAGGCCACACACGAAGCTGTCCATTTACTCTGTAGAATGTTGGTATTTGATCCAGTAAGTATCATAGAAGGGTACCAGATTGTACTGGCAGTTTTGTAAGGGATTTTAGATATTTACTATTGTACTATTTTGGTAACTTAGCCATTAGGTGTTTTTATCGACACTGTTGCACATTATATTTAAGTTAACATTTGCATGCATTTACACACATTATATTTACATGGCATTTCAAATATAAATTTCTAAAACCTTTAATTGTAGTGAACAAGGAAAACTATGCCATTAAGAAAGATATGAGAAAGGGCTCTTTATCTACTCACACCTTGTACTGTTTTGGTAACTTAGCCATTAGGTGCCATGATCATTGACGCACATTATATTTAAGTTCACACCTTCATATATACATAATTGGCCATATATATATATAAATATAATGTGTGACCGTGTCAATGATTATGACGCCTATATATCCTCCACATTGAAAATAACAATGGCAGGTGTTAATTATAATACAAAAATCAGAATATAGACATGATATGTATGAAATAATTCAAAAAATTTGTACAACCATGGGTTGGAAATGAAAAGCATGGGTCTGTGCCACGTTTGAAATACATTGTCTATATGTCATTGTGTCAGTTATAGTAAAATCCTGGGGTCTGTCTGTGCATGGAACTAAAACCCTGTAGTGAAACCTGTCCATTATTAGAAACAGGTGAAAATAGAAATAAAAATATATCACTTAAAGCTCAAAATGTTCGACCAGTCTTGCGCAACTTTGTAGGGAAATAATAATCTAGCTGATTTATAATTTAGACCCATGTCTTTTCAACAACAAAATAAAAAGATGTGTGTGATTGCCAATGAGAAAACTATCCACCAGAGATCAAGTGACATAGATGTAAGAAACTATAGGTCAATTTACAGCCCTCAACAATGAGCAAAACACATACCATATAGTAAGCTATTAAAGGAACCTGTTTATTTTGTGGTGGAATGTTGCCCCATTTTTCCCTATACATGACTTGAGATTGAACTGAACATATTTTATAATAAGATTTATGATTTTGTATCAGTTACAATATTTGATGTTTATTCCAGGAAAAAAGAATAAAAGCGACAGATGCATTAGCTCATCCTTACCTTGATGAAGGGAGGTTACGATATCATGCATGTATGTGTAAGTGTTGTTACAGTACAAACTCAGGGCGGCGTTATACCTCAGACTTTGAACCCACATGTTCCCAGCCTTTTAGTTATGGATTTGAAGACAGTCTCACATCGTGTCACCGGGTCAAAGGTTTGTTGGCTTTATTGATATAGTAACTTGTAGAAAAAATGTTTATAAAATTGTAGTATTCAGTTACATCGCTAAAGTTTAAAACTCAATGGAATATATTTTTATTGATTTACATTAACTGTCTATTGAAAAGAATAAGTTTGTATTTCTCTTGAAAAGTACCAAGATATCAAAGGGATATTCAAACTCACTAGTTGAAAACAAACTGACAATGCCATTGCAAAAAAGAAAATGGACCAAAAGACTAACAACGATCTACAAAACACAACATACAAAAACTTAATGACTGAACAACACAAACGAAGTGATACATTAACCAAGTGAACTTTTGACCAAATTTACTACAGTCTGCATGCACATCTTATCAATGATAATAGTTTTTGCAGGAAGAAACACACTTTTATCTCATTGATCAAATCATTAGACAAAGGTTAAATTCTTCTTAATCACTTAATACAAATAACAGATATTGTGGTCAATAGATAGTATCTGATGACAAAATAGTGTTTAAAGGGAAATAACTCTATGTATTTCTTAATTATACAAAATCTGGTAGTTAATTCTCATTCCCTTATTATCTGTTGGCAAAATAGTTGTTAAAGGGAAATAACTCTCTTTACTTCTTTTTGTCGAGCCTTCGACTTTAGTCGAAAAAGCGAGACATAGCGATCCTACATTCCGTCGTCGTCGTCGTTGTCGTCGGCGGCGTCCACAAATATTCACTCTGTGGTTAAAGTTTTTGAAATTTTAATAACTTTCTTAAACTATCCTGGATTTCTACCAAACTTGAACAGAAGCTTGTTTATGATCATAAGATAGTACCCAGAAGTAAATTTTGTAAAAATAAAATTCCATTTTTTCCGTATTTTACTTATAAATGGACTTAGTTTTTCTGCCGAGAAATATTACATTCACTCTGTGGTTAAAGTTTTTAAAATTTTAATAACTTTCTTAAACTATCCTGGGTTTCTACCAAACTTGGACAGAAGCTTGTTTATGATCATAAGATAGTATCCAGAAGTAAATTTTGTAAAAAAAAAAATTCCATTTTTTCCTTATTTTACTTTTAAATGGACTTAGATTTTCTGCCAGGAAACAACACATTCACTCTGTGGTTAAAGTTTTTAAAATTTTAATAACTTTCTTATACTATTTTGGATTTGTACCAAACTTGGACAGAAGCTTGTTTATGATCAAAAGCTAGTATCTAGAAGGAAATTTTGTAAAAAAATAAATCCATTTTTTCCGTATTTTACTTTTAAATGGACTTAGATTTTCTGCCAGGAAACAACACATTCACTCTGTGGTTAAAGTTTTTAAAATTTTAATAACTTTCTTATACTATTTTGGATTTGTACCAAACTTGGACAGAAGCTTGTTTATGATCAAATGCTAGTATCTAGAAGGAAATTTTGTTTTCTTCCAGTCAACATTACATTCAGTCTGCAGTTAAAGTTTTTAAACATTTATTAGATTCATAAACTATCCTGGATTTTTACCAAACTTGGACAGAAGCTTCTTACAATCAAAAGATAGTATCAAGAGGAATATTTTTATTGATTTACTTCCTCATTTTTGTTGAGCCTGTGATTAACAGAAAAAGTAGGCGAGACACTGGGTTCCGCGGAACCCTTACGAATTTTTTATTATACAAAATGCTTTGTTTCTTTTCAGAAAAGTTACACAAGTTTATATTAGAACAACAGAAGAATAATGAAGTTCCACTTTGTCTCAATCCAAATTCTATATCATTTAAAACATTTGCAAGGTGAGTTTGTTTTTTTTTTATTAGGAATAAATCAGTCAGCTTGATTTATTGTGGGGAAAAATTGAAACCATATAAAAATTAAATGAACTTAAAATTCAATGTAGAATAAATAATATAATTAAACTATGTTGTGTAGAGATCTTCAAAGTATTTTACATGGAGAGTTGAATAAAAACACCATTCTAATCAACAGCTTAAATATATTGGATTAGTCAATTTAAAATTAATGGTAAAATTTTATCTTTAGAAAAATTAACATAAGAGGAAGACATGTGTGTTAATTTGTTTATGATCATGAATAAGATTTAATTTGAAAAATTGTTACATTTAGATATAATAAAACTGTAAACCCAAAAACCCAAGATATCTGTATAGACTGATTTTTTTTCAGTTCAACAATAAATAGTTCACTTTGCAATACAAAGGAAGATCAAGGATTGGATAAGGATTGAGGACACCAAAATTTAGAATCTCATTCCAAATATACTAAAGAAATTAAAGGGAAAAACACATGCGAAAATTAAATCATTTAAGGTGCTGTAAATTAATCCCACTGAAAACACATATTTTTTTTAAGTTGTTAAATTTGTATTATGTTTTGTTTTAACATTATAGATCTCCAGTCACCTGTAATAGTGGGTCCCTCTGTGTGAAGAAAGGGCAGATATTTTAAAAAGTGAGAGAAAAATGCAGCATTTCCCCATTCTGATTTTGTACCCCTTTACAGCTTGCTCAGATTGCACTTTACCCTCAAGCTTGAACTTATCAATCTCTTTTACTGAATATTTAAATTGAAGTGAATTCATATAGTTATTTAGAAGTTAAATCATACATTTGGAATATATAACTTAGAAATTTTTTGGCCAAAAAAAAACGAAATTTTTTTGCCACATTTGAGAAAAAATATGAATTAATGTATGAATTCACTTAGTTTGTGTGTTCTAAAATTGAAAATATATTTTTTTTGTCGAATGATTTCAAGAAATATAACTTTATCGCAGAAATGATACTTTTCCTCACAAGTTGTCCCCCCTTATTCACATGCTTTTTCAGCAAAATTTTGAACACAGTTATACATATGCAATTTTTTTTAAAATCCAGAAGTAAATGGTATGTTTTAATTAGTAGCGTTTTATATACCATTTACTAAAAGTATGCACATTCCTAAATCTGGAACATTTGTATGCATTCGGACTGTTTGTTGACCTCTAGAACTCTTTGGGTTGCTGACTCATTGGGGAATACCCCTCATCTGATAATATTTGTCTTTAGAAAGTAAGAAAGTTATATAAGGAAATATTGTAATGTTGCTTTGACCATTGCGTCATTGGAGAGTATGCCTGTTGCATGGTTTTTAAAGCAAAATTTATGTATGGATTACATTTGGATGATGTTTTAATTATAAAACAAAATATTTTGTCAGAGTGCATTCTTTTTGATATTTTTGTTATTTTTTATTTATTCTGTGTATTTTTCTTTGTTATGAAACTTCTGTTGGTGTTTTGAATAAAATATTGTTCAATCCAAAAAATCAATCTTTATCATGTAAAAAAATTTGCAAAAGATAAGACTTTGGTGTGCAATTGTGTGAAGTCAGCTGTGCAACAATTGATAAAAATTTGTGATACTGTCAAACAGGCGAGCCATGTTATAGATGAGCAAACAATGAAATGGTCCAATGTTCTAACTGCCCACCCTACATATAAATTGTTAGATTTATATGACAGGAATACATATTGGATGTGAAAGTAATTTTTCAAAGGACTTTAAAATTTTAAAATAAGGGAACTTCCCACAGCAAGAAATCATTTTGAATTTTGATTTTATGTTTCTATATGTTATAAATATTGGATGGAAAATTGAAGATTTTATTTTAGGTACTTGTTTTTTAGGGGTTACAAATGGGGACACACATAAATGTTACTTCAAATGCAGTTTAAAGAGTGTTAATAAGTGTCCTGTCTTTAAAGAAATACAATTGAGCTTCAACAAGTTGTTTTGATTTTAAATAACAAAATGGTTGACCTTGATTATCTGAAACAAGTTAAAAAAGGTGTGTTGTAAACAAATTAATTGATCCTTTCAAGATATTTAGGTATTTATCATACAGTAGAATATATGGTTAACATCTTAAACAGATGCAATGTGTGCTGATCCTAATTTCTAAAATATAACAAAATATTTTCCAAACTGTGAAATTTATAAATGAATTGTTTATTTTTTATTTCAGTTCACAAGTAGCACAGCCAGCAGAGCTTCCACCTTCTCCCCATGCGTGGGAATAAAACTGACCAATCACCTCATTCCAACACACATTCATGCAGAGCAATGACCAATCAAAAGACACTTTGTTCTGACCAGGATACAGAGTGAACCAGTCAAAAGTTTTGTTTCTAGTGGGAGTATAAGCAACTTATTTCGAAAAAAAGAGAGAAGAAAGACAGAAGATGGAGACAAATTAAGCGAGATGAAAGTAAAATGCATGAATGTTGACAGAAAAAATCAGATGGACTTCAAATCAAAAGTAAAGATATGGGAAGGAAGGATAGAGGACACTTCTTAGTATGAACCTTTTATCAAGTTTGTGAACATTAAGATTTGGAATTATAGTCACTGTATAGATATTGTTTGATCTATTGTGTAAGTTACTAGACTGATAGTGAGGGAATCTTATATCACTTAAACTTGACAACTTAAAGTTTCCAAAGGCTCAAGTTTTTCTGAGAGAATAATTGTTAGTTGCTGAAGTAATATATCTGTTCATTTCTGTGGGTTTTGAGCAATGACATAAGCATTTCTTACTTTCCTATTCGAAATACATGAGAAATCTATATCTCAGTGATTAGAAGGACAGGTCTTGGTGAGTTTTTTTATTTATTTAGGGATATTTTTTGTCAAAAAAAAAACAAATAAAACATCATTCAATTGTTTAAAGTCTTCAGATTTGGGTTTTTTTCTGTAAAGGTTAACATTTAAATCAAGTCTCGACTTCTAAATAGGTTTTTTTCTTCATTCTAATGACATGTAGTAAGGCATCAGAATGTATTCCTTTTAGACTGGTCAGACGTGTTAATGTATATCTCTGTGTGAATGTGTAGATTTGGTGCTCACTTTTATAACTGTGTAAATATTTTAATGTAAATTGTAAAAAGGAAACGTTAATACTGTTAAACAGTTTTATTTATATCATGTAAACAATCAATTTACAAATACTATGGACTATTTTTCTAAACCTGCTTTTGTATATGGGCCAGAACTTGTCGGACCAACTTAACTCAATATTAATATTTCACACGTGTGAAACACATTTCAAAAAATCATAAAAACCATTTTTAATTCATTCTGATTTAATCTGACAGAAAGTCTATGAATTTTCTATGGCAAGACTCAGTATTTGTATCTGTGGGAGATTTCAAATTGCGCTAAAACTATGAAAACAAATATTTGGTTACCACGACAACAGATCAGCAATAAACATAGTGCCTTGGATGTCCCTCCCAGAGTCCTTTATTCCAGGAATTTGGTTTCCATAGTCTCTGTAAATTAATTGTTGTGTTGTTTCTTCATAAAAAAATCATGTTATACAAATTATCATGTACAATATCATGTCCACGTAGTTTTCTACATTATATAAAGATCTGAAGTCACAAAACAAATTTATAAGTTTACTTTATATTCTTTCATCTTTTAATTGATTTAACATAGATATTCATTAAGAAGGTATCAATATTTTAAATTTGCAATAACTATTTTTTTTTTATATATAACAGAAACTGCCAAAGCATAATTGCAAGTTATAAGGGTACTTTGTCAAAAACAAAAGTCATTCAAATAATGTCATGTTAAAAATTTAAAGGGTAGAAAAAAGTAATAGTTAACCAATCAACAGAGTCTCAAATTTATCGAAAAATATTTTCAGATATATTTATATTTATTCAATGAAACTTTTTCTTTCGTTAATTTTTTTAAAAGTTTTTAGAATGTAGATATCTCTTAAATCCAGTTTCCACTGAAACATTTTTCCTGTAACACTTTAATTAAAAATTCAGTAATTTAATGACCTTCAGAAATTTAATGACCTTCAGTAATTTAATGACCTGTAGTAATTTAATGACCATCAGTAATTTAATGATCTTCAGTATTTTCTTGACTTATAAAGAACATCAAAAGTATTGAAATTCTTTAATTAAAAAAATTGCGGGAACAAGATGAAATTTATTTTTTGCATTCTAAATGTAAGAGCTATATAATTATACTGAAAAAGTCCATTATAAAATTGGGTACTTTTGTGATGCATTCTATAGAAATTCAGATCTCTAAGTAACTAGCCATGTCCTTTTTAGTATTGATCTCACTACGTTTAAAGTGATGAATGTTTGCACTTTTAGCTGAATGTATTAGTATAAATGCCTGTTTATCAGTAATGACTAAATCTGGAGTCAGTATTTTTGAAATCATTTTACATATCTATGTGTTATTATGTGCTGCCAAATCACTTTGTTCAATGTCAGTTTTTTATTCCATTGTTATCTCCCCTTCTTGTATAGGGTTTACTTCCTGTCTGGTTCAATGTTCTTGCTTAATAGCCTGCAGTCTGCACCATTAGCCACTAGTCAGATGCCCCAGACTAGTAAAAGTTTATTCAGACTAGTTAGTACATGTATTTGCAGAACTTTGGTCAGACACAAAATAAAAATATCAGTATATTGGTCTTCAGATTTTGGTGCAGACTGGACTGTATGAAGTAACAGACATTCTTGAAGCATTTCCTTATAATGATTTCCTTTTAATATGGCTTAATTTTTCTGGCTTATATTTAAACAATTAATGCTTAGATTCAGCAGGTCTGTCAAGTTAGCAGCCTTTTGAGGTTTGTTGTCAGTTTGTGACTCAGCAGGTCTGTCAAATTAGCAATCTTTGAAGGTGTGCTGTCAGTTTGTGACTCAAAAGATAAAATGTCAAAAAATATTTTAGGAAAGTTTATTATTATGATATTTTATACTTGACCATTTTCAGGAAAGAAACAGACAAACCAAACACTTCTTTTTTTTACAAAGTCCAGAAATGATAATTGTATTATGTTAAACTTCTCAGGGACAAGCCTTTATCAATGTATATTTAAGATGAAACAGTGAAATGTTGGCTGTGTGAATTATATTTATTAACAAAAAGTAGAAACATTTGAGACTGTTAATGTTCATGACTGCTTTATTTAATCAATGAAGAACGACATCCTCAAAGCAACATTGTAATATTGTAATGTATGGAGTTTGTTTTTTAAGTCACATGGAGAAATTGTATGTTGCAAGTTTGAAATTTCAAAATCAAGAGTTAAACTCACATTGTTTTGTGAATTGTATATGTTTTATATTAGAAACTCAAATGTAAGTTTCAATCGGATTAAATGAAAAAGAATGTGTCCAGTCACGTATTGTGTATAGTTTATATAGATGTAGATTACTGTTTACATGTTTGTTTCTATATGAGTACACACATACACACATATGAATGCATGTTATCTTTTTAAATATTTTACTAGAAAACTGACCAGTTTTTAAAAGCTTACTGGACCAAGTTATAATTGGATATAAATTTTTCCTTTTATTTTTTAATATTAAGATAGTTTTGAGTGATTGACTTATAAAACATGTAAAATGAATTTGGACTTTTTACAAGATATTAATTTCATTCCAAGTATTTTTCTTATTGTGTACATATGTGTATTTTTTTGCCAAATGGATTGTTATAAATGTAAACAAGCTTCTAGTACAAAGTGAAAGTAGATGTGTAAACTTGTGATATTTCCAGAGTGTATATAAATGGTTGATATTATTGTGTATTTGTGGTACTTTAAAATGATAGTTTTTTACATAAATTTTATATAATTTCTACCATATAAAATGTACACTTTTTGAATATTTTTGTTGTATTTTCCCACTTCCAGTAAAGTTATGCTAGATGCACCAAATAAGCATATTTTGTTGTAAGTCGTCGTTTGAAATTCAAAGCTGCCCTAAAAACTAGTCCTAATACAGTGTAGTTGAATATATGTGTTTTTTTTGTGTTTTTTTTTTTTTTTGGTTCTGAAATATGGTGCTGATTCAAAGGTCAAAGGTCAAAAATACGTAACCAGTTAAATGTGTTTAATATGTGCAAAACTGGTGTTGCTTTAATTCATGAATTTGTTTGTTTGTTTCTTTTTTTGCTTTAAAAATATGTGATAGTGTAAGTTTACATCAATGTCATGTGAAGACTTTTATTGAAATAATTTGTCATGCTTACATCGGGATACATCAGGATAAATAGAAGATCAAATTATTTACAGTGATACCAGCAAAATTTGATTAAGGATGTTCGCTACTCTGTTTCAAAATAACAAGGTCTTCAAAAGACTGTTATAAAATGAAAGTTTATGAATAAAGGAACTAAATAAGCTGAAAAAATTGAAGGGTCAATGCGCTTGTTTTCGAGATATAAGCCATTGAAAATTTGGCGGGAAAAATTATCTCTAGACTTTTCGTACATTTAACATTGGCACCTTTTTTTCTTTCAAAACTATGAAAAAATAACAAAGATTTTATATGATTTTCAAAAATGGCTTCTTTAACTATATGTAATAAGATTATGAAAAGAATTGTAGCGGTTAGTGGGCAAATTTTTTTATTGGCACTACATGGATAAAACTAGAGGATCCCGAATATCTGACAAAAAGTCAAAAACAAGAGTAGCAAACATCCTTAAATGGTAATTCCAATGCAATGTAAGATAAAACAGAAGTATTTGTCATGTTCACATTTGTACAATAGAATATTTAGAAGATATTTTGTCAAGTTGATATTAGGACAATGAAAACAATATATTTTGTCATGTTGACACCAGTACAATGGAAGATAAGAATTATTAGCAATGTCCACATAAATGTTAAAATTATTACAAAAGAAGATAAAAATTATTTGTCATGTTAAGATCAGTACAATACAAGATAATATATTTTGTCATGTTGACATCTGAACATTGTAAGATGCAATTATTTGTCATGTTGACATAGAAAAAAAAAAAAGATTAAATGTTTGTCATGTTGACATCAGTACAATAGAGGATTAAAAAAACTGTCATGTTGTTCGTCAAAAATACAGTATGAGATCTATATGTAAAATATATATATAAATGTGAAAAATAAATCTAAAATAGCATTTGTATATAAATCCAGGAAAAGGGGTGTAATTGTCAAGTATACAAACAAAATCAAAACAAAATTTTTGAGCATATCGAGGCAAATATTTTGTCAACAATTTTATTCCAAATAATATTTTTTTTCTGATTTATTCTCCCTCAATGCAAGTTTGGTTTTATTTTGTTTAACCGTAAATTTATTCAATGAGCATTGACAAGTTTAAGAAAAAAATGTCCTGAAAGCATGACCAGCGTTTGTGTTGTAGTTTTTTAAAACCATTAAATGAGATAGATACTACACATCTCAATTTCTAAAGAGGAATTGAGGCAATAGTCCGTGACAGTTTGGTGTTAACTACACGTGTTGATGTCAATGTTTACATAATTTATGTTGCCATGGTTTTGAAGGCAAGAATTTCATCATTAATGTCTGGTGAAGATGTGATACCTGTGAGATTTTTGTGGTTTCATGACCTTTTTAAACAATTAATTATTTTCTGCATTGAAATAAACATGGTTGAAGATTAACGTTTATATTGGATAGAAAAAAAAATCACCATTGAATTAAAACCATGCTAGTTTGCACCATGCATAGTCTTCCTTGTAAAGTGTTGTTTGTTAATATCATAAACCTTAGTTATAAACTAAAGCTGTAAAAAATAGGCTATCCCTCTTTAAAATGTTGGGGGTTATTTATTGTGTGTTGGGTCAACTGTAGGTAACTATAGTAACCATTCTCTAGGTGATACTTGAGTGTGTAAATGAGATGATAGGATGTTTTGTCTATTTACATGTATTTATGGAAAAAGTGAAATAAAATGAATAAAACTAATAAAAAATTATAAAAAAAATGGTTTTTCTTGTTGTTTCCTTTGTAATACAGATAATACAGTGTGTAAAACAAAATGTGAAAAAAGAGATTTGGTTTATCAATTTTTATTACAAAATCGTAACTCACTATTTACAAAACTAAAAGGATAAGACATTAAATGCTGTTCTTCATCTTAAAGTAGCAGTGAAACCTTCAATACTGAGGAAAGAAAAAGCTGACCTTGCTGCCTCTATATATAAATATTGGTATGATTGCCAATGAGACAACTCTTTAACAAGAGACCAAATGACATACTAGGACCATTTAGATTAGAGTTCTATTCTAGCTGTTGATGCTACACCTGTGCAGTGACGAATTGTCAGAATGTATGATGATGATGGTGGATGGCTGCTTAATGTCCAGCGGCAAATTAATATGCATATTCAGGACGAGAACATGTTAATGTAATATGAATATTAACCCTGCTTTGTACTAGACCGACACGCTGAGCTGGATTTTTAACGTGCTAGTTCACAAGGTAACAGTCCTCAGGATGACGTGTCAGCCTACTAGAACACATTATTCTGACTCCGAGCTTACCGGTCTTTGCTCTTACTCAATGCCGCGGGCTTAGCGGAGAAGCAGAAAATACCAATTTAAAAGTCTCAAACCTACGACCTCCCGCACTCCAGGTGAACTCACTACCACAACTACCGAGGCAGTTGTTAGAATGGAATAAAGTTAATTTTTAAATGGTTTTCGGCTGCTGTTGTACTAATTTTACTCTTTTGCAGGTTTTATAGTTATTTCTGCTCCTGCTTGTCCCCGAGACGTCTTGCACTGGCTTTTACCTTTCTGTGAATTGAAGGCTTTCGAGATGCGACGGTCATACTTCCACGACGTCCATAGGATGTGTCGGCCATACCTCCATATCGTCCATACTTTTAACTATTTATTCCATTGTATATATAGTTATAACATAAAATATAATAATACTAGTAGTATTATTTCATAGTTATAACATAAATATGATTTTATATTATTATTATATAGACTATATCTAGATCTAGGTGATGGGGGTGCTTCTATCACTGATGGAACCTGCACGAAAAACACATGTATATAAAAGTCGTGAAACATATTATAATAGTGTACTTTGACCGAAAACTAAACAAAGTGGGAAAATGGGAAAAAATTGTATTTGAAATATTTTTAGATTGGTCTATATAAACTTCACGTTAATTAATTGTGTATGTGTTTGATAATTGACAATCGCAATAACTAATTTACGAACTAACATAAGATTAACACCTCCGAGATCTGTGAGTTTACATTAAACAAAGACACGCGCCAACTGATTGGATTGATATGATATTCAATTTTTGATAGGTAATCATACATTATCATAAATAACGTTTTCAACATCTGTAACATAATAGCACTTTATTTCAGTTTGTTTTTACGCAAGATATTAAAATCCCATTTAGAAATTATATATAAATATTTTATTAGATAAAACACATTTATATATGATATATATAATGCGTATTCAAAGTGTATAACATATATAAAAACATGAGAAATACTGTATGTCTCAGATACAGCATAATACATTTACAATTTATAATAACCATCTACATATATATATCACAATACTTTATAAATAAAATTTATTTCCGAAAAAAAAACCATGGACATCACAAAGTATGGACGATGTTGTCCCATGGCCGATACATCCTATGGACGTCATGGCAGTATGGACGTCGCGTCCTGCATCGAATTGAATCCCATGACATCTACTTTTGGTTCTGAAAGCAGGCTTCAATATCTGCTTCTCAGCACTTGTCCGTACAAGACCAGTATCTGTCTTATCTGTCTTAAATTAGGTCTTCATATAAAAAAGAAGATGTGGTATGATTGCCAATGAGACAACTCTCCACAAGAGAAAAATGACACAGAAATTAACAACTATAGGTCACCGTACGACCTTCAACAATGAGCAAAGCCCATACCGCATGAAGGTCTTCGTATTACTTTGATGTAGTCAAGGATTTGTATAGTCTTACTATACAAATCCTTGATGTAGTTGGAACATTTTTTGTACCGATGGTCAATAGTTGTACTTTGCAAGAATTTCATTTATGCAAACATCGTCTTTGAGCTGCTCCTGATATATTTGAGTTGCTCCAGACTGATCTCGTTATCTTTAAGTTACTGCTTCAATATTTTTCGAGTTTCTCCAAGCTAATCCCGATATTTTTCAATGATTAAACATTCCATACCACTAGTTTATATATACTCCAGTCATCTCCCAATATTTATAAAATGGTTTGTTTCGTTTAGGTGCACTTCATTTTCGTTTCATCTGCGGTGACAGACATAGGGATGCTATTCCGGCGACGGCGTTAACTATTTGTATGATGCTTTATGTTACAGAAGGTAGAATATCTTGATGTGTCTTACCTTTTATATAGATGCCTTAAGTTCCGAAGTTTCCGCCTGTTATCCTGGACCTCATTTTCATTTTCAGACATTTTTTGTCATGTGAATTTATAACTTATTATGAGCAATAGGACTTGTATATAAAATCCTTGCAAGGTTTAAGAATTTTGATGCATCAAATTTTTTAAATGATTTAGAAAATCAGAATTTTGATATATCTGAATTTGATAATGTAAATGCAGCATAATTATGATAATTTTAGTAAACGTTTCACTGAGGTAGCTGACAAACATGCACCTTTGAAGGAAAGAAAAATAATTCCAAATCAGGTACCATACATGAATGCAGAGCTCAAAAGTGCCGTTTATAGAAAAAAAATGATGTATAATAAATTTCAAAAATTCAGTTGTAGTAAGAACTGGGAAGCATATAGACGTCAACGCAACTATGTTACAACACTAAAAAAAAATAAATCTATTAGCCAATATTTTATAGAGAGGTGTGCTGGGATCCCTAAATCTAATGATTTCTGGCCAACAGTGAAACCTTTTCTTACAAATAAAGGTAATGTAAACCAAAAGGAAACTGTTCTCTCTGAAAATAATGTTTTAATTACAAAACAAGAGGAGGTGTGTGAAATATTTGATAACTATTGTAAATGTTGCCAAGAATATTGGAAACAATCAAATAAATGTTGATGATGATCACCCGAGTATTTTGGCCATTAAAGATAATCTTCCAGATCTTGACCAAAACAGTTTTACCTTTTCCCCTATTGATCAAGACTTTGGTGAGAAATGTATCCGTAAAATTAATGTTAAAAAAGCCACTGGAATAGATGGTATGTCACCCAAATTACTGCATTTTGCTAAACCTGCTATTGTAAAACCTCTTATAGATATTGTTAATTTATCATTATCATCATCAACCTTCCCTGGCCGTCTTACGGAATCTCAAGTTGCACCTATTCACAAAAAGAATAGTGTATTAGAAAAAGGAAATTATAGACCGGTAAGTGTGTTACCGGCTATTTTAAACAAAATTGAAAATGCCATAGAAGTACAAGTAGTGCAGTACTTTGATAATATCTTCAATCCATTTTTGGCAGCTTTTAGATCAGGCCAAGGCTCCGTGTTGAAGGTCGTACTTTGACCTATAGTTGTTTACTTTTTACACATTGTGACTTGGATGGAGAGTTGTCTCATTGGCACTCATACCATATCTTCTTATTTGTATTTGGATGTCAGTCAACTTTATTATGAGTGATTGTCAGTGGGGGTTTACTATCCATACTTGTACGAGATTTTCATAGCTTAGATGTACTCTGCTTAACCTCCGATAATATATCAGTGTAGAAATAGAATAGACGTACTTTGCTTAACCTCAGATAGAATTTCAGTGTAGACATAGCTTAGACGTACTGTGCTTAACCTCCGATAGAATGTCAGTGTATACATAGCTTAGATTTACTCTGCTTAACCTCCGATAGAATGTCAGTGTAGACATAGCTTAGATGTACTCTGCTTAACCTCCGACAGAATGTCAGTGTAGACATAGCTTAGATGTACTCTGCTTAACCTCCAATAGAATGTCAGTGTAGACATAGCTTAGACGTACTCTGCTTAACCTCCGATATAATGTTAGTGTAGACATAGCTTTGATGTACTCTGCTTAACCTCCGATAGAATGTCAGTGTAGACATAGCTTAGACGTACTCTGCTTAACCTCCGATATAATGTTAGTGTAGACATAGCTTTGATGTACTCTGCTTAACCTCCGATAGAATGTCAGTGTAGACATAGAATAGACGTACTCTGCTTAACTTCCGATAGAATGCCAGTGTAGACATAGCTTAGATGTACTCTGCTTAACCTCCAATAGAATGTCAGTGTAGACATAGAATAGACGTACTCTGCTTAACCTCCGATAGAATGCCAGTGTAGACATAGAATAGACGTACTCTGCTTAACTTCCGATAGGAGACATGTTATCGTTTGGATTGTCCTTCTTACTCCTGGTTTCAGATAAATTTTTCAAAATATGACGAAATTCTTATTTATCTTTCCTAATACCCCATCACACTAGGACCACGATCTCGATACGACCTCAGAAATTATGAAAAACTTTGGAAGTCGTAGTAAGGTCGTGAAGGTCGCACGAAGGACGTGCCGGGGTCTTCATGATCGTGTAGGTCCACGACTAACTTTGAACATGCTCAAAACATTCGTAGTGCAGTCGTGGCCAAAACTAGTCGTAGTAGAAGCGTATACGTAGGAAGGACTAAGTAAGATCGGGATGGGCGTAAAAGCATCGTATTGGAAACGTGGTGCAATAGGGAAGCCAATGAAAAAAGATCTCGCTGCGACCTTACAACGATTTCACTAGGTCTTTATTACGCTTCTACTACGATTTGATACGATTATACTACGATGCTATGGGGAAGACAATTGTACGCTGCTACTACGAGCTTACCGTCCTTACTACGACCTTACTACGATACTACTACGTCCTAGCAACGATAATTGCACGACCTCATTCTGTTGATTTAAAAAAAAACGGGTGCAATAACTTCTACTTGTAGTTCAACCATGGACACAC